ATGAGTGTTTGGTATATGTATATGTTTATTCGATGTTTGTGTTTTCCTGTGTTTAGGTGGAGGACTTGAGACGAGCTGATCACTCTTCCAAGGAGTCCTACCGTCTGTAAAATGAGCATGACATTAAAAATCAGAGGCCAGGGCCCAAGTGGGCTATAGAACCACTGAAATGTAGTAGTAGTATTGCCATTTATTAATTATTTTATTAAAGTATGTGTTTTATATCATATTGTCACGTATATTTTGGTACGCGTGAGGTATATATCGGATTCTAATTTGGATCATTGGATTTATTAACACATTTTCTCTTAATTACAATTAATAAAGACCTATCCCTGATCAACACACGGTTCACAGTTGCACATGCACTAGGATTCTCCGTCCTCATTAGTCATCTCCTGGTAACGGATCTCAACACAGAAACTAATTCTTCAAATCACTCTGTACTCCTCTGTCCTAATCTGTACTCAAGTAATCTTCACACTTCACTAAGGACATGATCCATTCTCGTCCTTGTACTCTCATGTGCTGAACCCTCCTAGACCCCTTTCAATGACGGCTTCGTGTCCTAGACTCACGGTTTCTCAGTTATGACTCTCTGCAAACGACCTTCACTGTATCCTAAAAGCCTCCGACGAGGACCACATAGAAAGCACCAATTACTGTAGACGTGTTTACAATTTTGTTGCTTAGCAATGGGCATAGCTCAGACCACACTGAAAACAAGCTAAGTGATAGCTATCTCGCCAATCCATTAGCCCCTCTGATTTTTGCCCAGCAACTAATTATAAGCATTCGCCCTATTGTTGCGTGACCTAACAACAGACTGTATACCAAGAATCTGTCTTGGCGGGAACTTCATTACCAACCTACTGCCTAGCAATGGTTGTACATGCAACAGTATTTACATATTGGATTGTGTGTTCTCATACTGGTGTCTATGAAGAGTTCGATCTTCTGGGTTCTATGGCGTGTAGTCTCGTGACGGCCAATCGAAGTTTCGGAAGAATATATTGCCTTCATCTTCAGACCTCCAAAAGGATGGAACTCTCCATATTTACTTATGTGAAGGCTTCAAATCGGACGGAAGACATAGTCACATGCAGTGTATTCGAACACAAAAATCCAAATTTTCACGTAAATTTCTGTGTACACGTTCAGTGACTATTGAAGTCTTGCTTTTGTTTAGATACGCTCAATAAAATCTGTGTTCTAAAATTCTTTTATCTTCTGCAGGCACATGTTTTCGCCATCCCAGAGAGATCTGAAAACTGTTTACGAGGGAAATGCCAATTGAAGGTAAGCAAATGCTTGAAAGAGTTTCCGTTCTTGCCTGGCAATTTAATTATAACTCCGCAAATATATTTAATGTTACAATCCTAAATCCTCTTTTGTTGACAACAAACGTGACAATCAAAAGTATTAGTGGTTTTGTATGCAGAACATGCTATGAAGAAAGAAATATGGCATCTGCTTTCATAGTTGGTTAGCCACAAGTGTTTCAGAAATATTTCGAAAAGAAGAGAATTCCTGGGTTTCGAAATTTGTCAGAAAAATATTTTATGTGCCTAACGGAAAAAAAGTTTGGCGTCGGAACGAAATTATCAGAGATTGTCTTATCTGAATTTGGGAATTAAGGTAAAGTGAAAATATTTCCTGTCGCTGATGGTGATATATTTAGCAGCAAAATAAGTCTCCTTATAATCTGGGGAAATTCTCTTAGCACATGTGACACAATAACAGAATGGATTAATATTATATTACTGTTCACTGTGATCATCGTCATAATCATTGCTGCTTGTTTAGAATTTATCCATTGTGATTTAAATTATAAAATTATAGCACCGTTATGTTTCGCACACTAGTTTTATCTCCTGCCTGATATAAAGCAAGAAAAATAAAAGCCTACTCTGTAGAGATTATTAAATAGAAATAATCATGTACAGTTGCCCAAAAACTATTTTTTATAAATGTAATAATAATTATAATAATAATGTAACATGACCCCTGGAANCAATAAATCCAATCATCCAATCCAGAATTCGTTATTATTAGTCACAGAACCCCGGATACGTGAAAATATTAATAATAATAATAATAATGATAATATCGACGACAATAATAGCAACACCAAGGACAGCAAGCGGTTATAAAATTTCAGTTTAACCTACAGTCAGAAGGGCGTACGTGAGTATAAATAAGTAATGTAACGTAGAGAAACATAAAGTATAGCAAAATTAATGATAGTAATATGTTCTTCACATATTGCATATGATAACTACAGCAACACACTTGGGAACTACACAATAACACACAAGCACCCATGCCGCTGCTCAAATAAATCCAAACAAGGAGACCTCAAACAATGTCGTTTGGATGAATGGATGATGCCTTCAAGCAAAATATTGAAATTTTAACTGAATTTCGACTGGGTTTTTTCATTTTAGCTAAAGTCCACCTATTTTAGTTTAAGATATATAGCATACACATGTGATATGAGAAGTTGGACATTTCATATATTTGGACAATTTTAGCGAATTAAAGACACCCGGTGATGACTGAGTACGACCGAAACATGTTGTGAGAAGGAAAGGGGACAGCAAAAACAATAACAAGTTGCATTGCAGACGGAAATACTTATATTGTAAAAAAAAAATGATGAAGTCAAGGAGGATGAGGTGGGCAGGTAATGTAGCACGACTGAGGGAGACGAGGAATGCGTATAGGATGTTGGTGGGAAAGCCAGAAGGAAAGAGACCACAAGGAAGACCAAGGCGTAGGTGGATGGACAATATTAAAATGGATCTTAGAGAGATAGGATGGGATGGTATGGATTGGATAGATCTTGCTCAGGATAGAGACCAGTGGAGGGCTCTTGTGAACACGGTGATGAACCTTCGGGTTCCATAAAATTCTGGGAAATTCTTGAGTAGCTGCAGAATTGGCTGCTCCTCAAGAAGGGGTCAGCTCCATGAGTAAGTAGGAAATAAATAATGTGTTTAAGGTTCAGTTCACATTAGCATTTCTTGTGATGAGGTTAGTGGCATGTTGAAAAACAATTATTGACCAAAGTTACCTGGCACACGTAAACTATATCCTAAATTGGGCAAAACAACGCATAATATTTCCCTTTTTAAGAAGGGGCCCCTCTTTCACGAATCCGACCTAAAAATCCCCCCCCCCAAAAAAAAATTAAATCGTGAAAAATTTATAAATTCATTGCATTCTTTCAGCTAATTTTGTGTTCTGATTGAACCCCTATGTAACTGAAATAAGTTTATGAAGTTCTTTTCCTTATCTCTGAAATAACCGACATGATCCTCTTCCATTCCTTCGTGATTAAATTTAAACTTAAATTTAAATTGAAGAGGACCGAAATGACCGGGGAAACAAATAATGTGAGACACAGTAATAAAAATTATGAATTATGCACATTTTGTGTCTCGAAATGTTGTTACGCGGTGTGGTAGTCAAGCCAGCAGATTAATATCTCGGGTTACTTTAGAGGGAAACATTTAACAATGAAATGCGTTATCCGAGCCGAGAACACTCGGGGAGGCAGTGGAAAGTTCTGCCCCAGAGGGGTTGGTTTCATGATAAATTCAGAAGATAATTTATACAATGCCTTCTCTTTCTCAAATGTTTCTTAGGTCTCCTCTGTCTGGTTTCGTTGCTAGGCCGGCATATAAAGCATACAGCAGCGCATGAAGTACTCTCTCTGCGCTGCTGTTCTGCATCTGCGTTATCATATGTGATTAACTGCACAAGACGATCTGTATATTGCACAATATTGCCACTGTGATGAAGAATAAAATGTATGAGGCTAAATTGTTTCTTTTGTAATCAAATTCAATTGAAGAATCTCGATGTTTATTTCCCACAATTTATTAACGTTCATGTGTCCGTTATAGTAGTCACAAAAAACAAAACAAACAAACTCTGTGGCCTGTAGTCCGCAAGCGAACTATACCGACAGAGCGACCGCCGCTTGTCTGCGAAGTTATTGCAAACCTTATCGGATAGAGGTGTCACGTGGTCAGAAACTGATTGCCACGGCCGTTAATTTCGGTTTTCTAGACCGGAGCCGCTATTTCCTTGAAATAGCTCCTCAATTATGCTCACAAGGCTGAGTGGACCCCGTTTCAGACCCACTACCTCTCAGAAAATCTGGTAGAGCCGGGAATCGAATCCGGGACCTCTGGATCTGTAGGCAGGAACTCTGACCACTAGACCAAATAGGCTATAATAATCATATATTTACTATTGATGTTGTTCATAAAACGTATTAGTCAATAGGGGGTAGGGGCACGTGGCAACGTAGTTGGTTAACGCACTATGCTACTAGTCGGAAGGTCGCGGGTTCGAGTCAAGATGACCAGAATTTCTTCAATATACCTAATACTTCCAGCTGCACTATGTCCCTGGAGTCGACTAAGCCTCTAACAGAAATGAGAACCAGGAATTTTCCTGGGGAGTAAAGGGCGGCAGGACCGTAGGCTGGCAAACTTACCACTATCTGTGAACCGATTTTCTAGAGAAAATCTGGGAGTATCGATATCTCATAACCCTATGGGCCTTCACGGTCTGTTAAAAGGATAGTTTTTTTTTCCTTTCAATCAATAGGGGGTAAGAAATTCATATAATGTAAGAGCAGTTGCATTCATTACGAAAGTGTTTAGTAAATGGTTATGAGTTAATAAATAAGTAATTTCTTGCATTAGAAAATTTTATTTGAACAGAAAGTTGGCGAAGAAAATGTACTTCAACTAGAACTCGACAGTGTCGTGGAATCGGCAAACTCCATAGTGAACAGGATCGACAGTCTGGATCTAACCGGCCGGCAGTGCTTCCTGCCCGTAGCCTTCCATCCGCCTTGTAATCTTGGAGTAAAGATACGAAAACAGTAGATCGGGTATTAGGCGCTGGCATTTGCTTGTGTCCTATAAATTCAGCAGTGTAATGTTCCGAAGTTACATCTGGGATTTCAGAAAATATATAACACAGTCTTCTCATATGTACTACAGCGATAGATATTGGAGTACTTGTTCTTATATATAAGTTTCTCCCCCCCCAAACCGAAAGCACTTGGAGATAATTAAAAATTGGTGTGTTCATTCTCCCTTCGGTGTTTCACTCGCAGTGATGCTACTCGTACTCGTTATTTTCCGCAGATCGACGTATGGGAGCCACGATAATGCATGCCACACAGCAGGTATACATTTCTAAACACCAAGCTATAAAACTGTCGATATTGTTGTAATTCTTCGCAAATTTCTGAGGTAGAAAATTTGTTGTGTTTCATAATATAGCCAAGAATTGAGCGCCTTTGAAAAAGGTAATTCATATGGAGTTTCCATAAAGTATTACAATATTGTATCTGAGCAACCGTCGGCTTCTCATGAAGAAGCCTATTCTATGTCATTTGCAGTCTTGCAATATGATAGTTACTACAAATATATTTAATTTCCTTAGAAGGCCAAGTTTATTGATAATAACAGACTCAATTAATGTCGAGAAATTTCTTGAGATGCTTAGGTAACTTCAGCTTTTGAATCTTCTACACCAGGATCAGTTAGCATGGGTGAATGGTTAGTATTAACAATTAGGCCACACCAAAAGTACCACACACAACACACACACACACACACACACACTCTCTCTCTCTCTATGTATATGTATGTATATATATATATACACTAGTATATATACGTATGTTACCTTTAGATATGACTGTAATTGACCAAAAATATTTTGGAATTTAAATTTGAATGCGTTGTGTCCTTTTAGGTACTTACATTGTCACGGTATGAAAGTTTGAAGTTGAACTTCATATTACGTATTTGATTATTTGCTTTAAATGACCAGAGGTTGCAGTTAAATAGTGTCGTGTTAAATTCTGAATGTAGGAGGCACAAGTTGTGCTTAAATCTTCTTATTAAAATCAGTCACTTCATACCTCATACGCTGTTCATATATTCTCATATTTGGGGTTGTTCTTCCAAGAAGAATTTGAGGAATATACTCGTATATTTCTAGATTTTAATATTGGTTCAGCGCTCTAATTTCTGTTTTAACCGCATTGTTATTAGACTATCCGTGTAGGCACAAAAATAACTCACCATTTCGGAACATAAGTGAAAAAATTTGTAGATATTCAAGGGCCTCTGTGTCAAACCTAGAAGTAATTTAGACCAACATCGACTTCCCCCCTTTTTTTTTTTCCTTGGCACTACAGCCCCGGTGGACCTAGGCCTACCTCCATGAACTTCTCCGTTCACTTCGGTTTTTCTAGATCTTAC